AGAAGATGTGAATGGCCTGGGCTTCTCCCCACATGGATTCTGGGATCCCAGGGTGAGAGAGCCAGGTAGAAGCCATATTACCTTTTATGACCTAACCCTGGAGGCTATATAGCATCATTCCCTGCATATACTGTTGGTAAAGGCAGTTTCAAAGGTCCACTCGGGTTCAAGGAGAAGGGAAATGAGCCCTACCTCCCACTGGAGACGTGTCAGTGTTGCATCATCGGAGGAATACATGGGATGGAATACATCTTGGCATAGCCACCTGGGAAGTGCAGTCTGCATGGTAGGTAGGGTAGGTTCATGGATGAAGGTAACATTTGAGCAATGATTAAAGGAGGTAAGAGAGTGATCCATATGCCTGTCTATATGGGGCAGAGCATTCCACGCTGAGGCGAGAGCCTGGGCAAAGGCCCTGAGGGGCGTGGGGGGAGTGTACCAGGAGCATTTGGAGGCCAGGATGGCTGGATTAGAGAGATCAAAGAAGAGAAGAACAGGAAAGGTGGTCTGAGAGATATGGGGGAGGATCTATGGGAGGCCTTATAGGCCATTGTAAGTACTTTGGCTTTTATTATGAGACTAGAGGCCCGGTGCACACATCGTGCATGGGAGTAGGGGCATGGGAGCTTGGCCGACACCCACCTAGGAAAGGGGCTGTGTCTGCTGCCATCCTCCCCCGGTTCCCCATCCCAGCCCGAGCCTGAGGGCCCTGGTGGGGTCAGGAGAGGAGGCGACAGTCGCCGGGCTGGGCGTGAAAGGATTGGATGCTGTACGCTGCTGTCAGCGCTCTGCCACTGCACAGTTCCCTGCCTCCCCCCTCCTCCTTCCCTCGCTGCCGCACTGCCACCACGGCAGGCGGGCAGCCCCAGGGAAGGGAGAGGACGGGAGCGAGATAAACCCTTGTGTCGAGGGCTGACTTTCAGTAGATCACAGCGAGGGAGCTGCTCCGCTACATAGGAAACCCCGACCCAGAAGCAGGTCTCTACGAATGGTTGAGCACCAGGGGCAATGGCTGCTGGCTGGCCGGGAGGAGGGGCCGCAGGAGGTTGGCTGTGGGAGTGCACTGACCATCAGGGGGCAGCTCCTGCATTGAGCATCTGCCCCCTGGTGGTCAGTGCGCATTGTAGCAACTGGTCAACCGGTCGTTCTGGTCATTTGGTTGTAGTGGTTGCTTAGGCTTTTATATATATCGATGAGAAGCAAAGTGGAGGGTCCTGAGCAGTTATGTGTTAAAAGGATCACCCTGGCACCCTAGCTGCTTTGGCTCAGTGGATAGAGTGTCAACCAGTGGACTGAAGGGTCCTGGGTTTGATTCCAGTCAAGGGCACGTGCCCAGGTTGCAGGCTCAATCCCCAGTAAGGGGCATGCAGGAGGCAGCAGATTGATGATTCTCTCTGATTATTGATGTTTCTATCTCTCTCTCCCTCTCCCTTCCTCTCTGAAATCAATAAAAAAAATATATTTTAAAAAGGGTCACTCTGGCTACTGGGTAGAGAATAGACTGGGTGGCAGGGAGGTGACAGAACAAGGGAGGCTACTGTAGTCATCAAGGCAAGAGGAATTAGTGGCTCAGATCAACATGGTGGCAGTAAAGGTGGTGGAGGTGGGCAGGTCATAGGTCTGTTTTGAAGCTGGAGCCAACACCATGTCTTGATGGACTGGCTGTGTGGTGTGAGGAAGAGGGGAAGGGGTCATAGAATTTCTGGGCCATTGTAGGGATAGAATTGCTGTTTTCTGAAACAGGGGAGGCTGAGGGCACACAGCTTTGCAGGAAATAATCAGAAATTCGATTTTAGAGATGAAAGTTTGAGATGTCTCTTAGTTATCCAAGTGGAATTGCTGAAGAGGTAGTTGAACAAATAAGCATAGAGTTCCAGAGAGAGGCCTAAGCTGGAAATAAAAATTCAGGCAGCATAGGTATAACGATGTTATTAAAATTGTGATCCCAGAAGAAAACAGTAAGAGACTGAGTGTAGGAGGAGGGACGGGGACAAGGACTGAGCCCTGAGGCACACACCACTGAGGGCTGGGGAGAAGAGGAAATTGCGAAGGAAGGACCTAAGAAAGCAAACGTGTCAGGCAGGACGCGCTCAGTGCTCTGAGGGGTCCCATAAGGTGGGGCCGAGACCGTCACACCCAGGAGCCCTGAGGGTCGTTGGGGCCTCACAAGGGCAGTTTCAGAGGAGCAGTGGGCCGGTCACCTCATTGGAATGGGTTTATAGCGAACGGGAGGAGAGTTGGAGAAGCAAGTGTACACACGTCCCATAAGTTCCGTCGCAAAGATGAGCAAGGAAACAGAGCAGTAGCTGACTAAGGAAGGAGAATCAAGAGAAGGATTTGTGTTTTAGCTTTGAAGATGGGAGACATAACAGCAAACTTGTATGCTGTTGGAGATGATCTAGTATAGAGGGAAAGTTTATATTGTGAGAGAAGAGAAGGGAAGGGGAGGGCAGAGGAGAGAAACCCTGGTGTTATGTTCTTGTGTCCTTTCTTGTGTTTCAGTTTCAAGGACCCTCACTTTCCCCTTGGGCAGGGAGTGTGGGTGTGGGTGGGACAGATAAGAACAAGGGAAGCAGCAGCAGGCCCTTCTAAGTTGCCTTTCAATAGCATTTTCTTCTCCCTTCTCCTCTCTGTCCCCCCGTTTGGACTGGGAACCCCAATTGGTGGGGGAGTGGGAACCACAACAACCGCCTGGACAGAAGAATCCTATTGTGAATGGAGAAGCAGCACCTGCCGGTCGCGGGTCACCGTCTCCCCCTCTTCCTGACCCTCCAGGACACAGGCAGCCGGGCTGGCAGGCGGGAGGGTCGCTGAGCGCAGGACTGGGCGCCAGGAGAGCATGACGCTGACACGCACGTCCATCCGCACGAGTCACTGTTGGCTCAGGGAGAGAATCTCAGAGAGAATGAAAGCTGCCACGCGGCTCCATCTCCTCGCTGACCAGCTCTGCCTCGCCTGCAGCTGGAGGGAGCGTGGCGATGAGGCCATAAAAAGAAACGATTCCAAGGTTTGCTCTCCGCCGCCTGGCGTGAGGAGTTCTGTGGAAACCTTCCAGCGCCCTTCGTTTTCATCACCCTTCACCTGAGTGCCCCTAGGGTTTCCCACGTTCGGGATTGGGGCTGTGAGGTGTCATTCCAGCAAGATCTGTTATTCCCGTATCTCATTGCTCTCTATTCACTCTCGTGGACCCCATGTTCAGTTTTATGGCTCAGAAAAGCTAAGCTATGAAATAGTAATTCTTCGCTATATCTGTGCCGTGGCAGTTTTGTAGCTCAGGGGACTGGTTGGTCAAAAGCATGATAATGACTACCCTAGTCAGTGGTCAGCAAACTGCGGCTCAGCAAACCGTGGCTCGCGAGCCACATGCGGCGCTTTGGCCCCTTGAGTGCGGCTCTTCCACAAAATACTGACTTCTGCGCATGGGCCACAAAGTTTCAATCGCACTGTACATGCGCGCCCGCACGTGGTATTTTGTGGAGGAGCCACACTCAAGGCGCCAAAGAGCCCCGTGTGGCTCATGAGCCGCGGTTTGCTGACCACGGTCCTAGCTGGTTTGGTTCAGTGAATAGAACGTCGGCCCGTGGACTGAAGGGTCCCAGGTTCGATCCCGGTCAAGGGCATTTACCTCAGTTGCAGGCTCAATCCCCAGGCCTGATTGTGGTTGTGGCGCGTGCAGGAGACAACCCATCGATGTTTCTCTCTCTGTCTCTCCCCCTGGTTGTGGTTGTGGCGCGTGCAGGAGACAACCGATGTTTCTCTGTCTCTCCTCCTCCCTTCCACTCTCTCTAAAAATCAATGGAAAAAACATTCTCGGGTGAGGATTAACAGTAGAAAAAAAGCATGATAACCACTGGTACAAAAGTAACACTGACTTTTCCAGATCCTCCCAATGCGGAGTCCGGGGAGGGAGAGGGAAGGTGGAAACGATGCTGATTTTATCTTTTCGATTCGCCGCTGTTGGGACCTGCGAGGTTACCGCTGGGAACACCGCGTGGTGATCAGGTTTTGACCTGCAGAACGAAGTCCTGGCCGTCCATTTGCTTAAGCAGCAGCTCACCCTGTTGAATGACATTTGATAAGGACATCGGGACTCTTTGAACAAGAGTCTGGAAACACTGCGAATTAATCCAGAAATGAGTGTAGGATAGTCCGTGAGATGCCTTCGCCCGACCCTGTTCCCTGTGTTCTCCCTCTTCGCTGTGATCAGACGATGATGCGTTACCTGACACAGAACATTTGAACGAGGGAAGATGCGGTGGAAATAGCCAGTGTTCTCAGTGGCGTGGCAACCTCGCCCCCGCCTTCCCGGCCCCTCCGTGCCCCTCACTGGCTCCGACCCGCTCGCCCTCCCACGTGCCCGGGGACCGCATTCTGTGTTGGGAGACCACCCCGCACAACCAGCCTGTTTCCGGGCAGCAGCCCCACCCCAGCCCTGCACAGCCGGCCGCATTCATTCCGATTCGCTGTTCCATTCCTAAAATCAGCTGGACTTATTCCCCCAAAGCTGGGGCGTGTGTTTCTCTCCCACAGGCACGTACATAGGGTGCCTTGATTGGCCTCCCCGTGGCCCTTTGCCAGGCCGGCCTGGCTTTACAAGGCGTCGGAATTTCTCCATCAGGCGTAAGGCCCCTCCCCTGGAGTTCACGCTGGAGAAGTTATGGTGTGATTAGCCTGATAGGTGCTGTTTACCCCTAAAGATGCCCGGCCTGTTCCTGCTTAAGCCGCGTGTCTGTGGGTAACAGACACTCCTGTGTAAATCTCCACCGCAGACCCGGGCACTTTTACGGCTCTTGGCTGCCGTGGAAATGATTGGGGAGCTCGTTAAGTCGACTCCGCTGTAGTTTAGAGCGGCAACGGAGCCCACGGAGGATGGAGAGAGAACGATTAAGCTTCAGCGAGAGCGAGGGGGTCCTTTAAGGGCGAGAGAATGAAGTCACGTGCACATCTGTGATGGTACCAGCCTTTCCCCTTACTGTTCACTTTCTGCATTTTCCCTCCAGAGCCGCCCAGAAGTTGAATCTGTCCTCTAAGAAGAGGAAGCACCGACCTTCCACCTCCGTGGCCGAGCCCCCGCTCTTCGGCACCAGCTTCAGCGGCATCCTGCAGACCTCCCCGCCCCCCGCTCCACCCTGCCTGCTGCGGGCTGTTAGCAAGGTGAAGGACACGCCGGGCCTGGGCAAGGTAGGCACCCGCCGTCTCCACGGGCTCAGGGTGTGGGGCTCTGTATGCGGGGAAAGGAGAAAACCAGGGCTCCGGTTCATTTGTTTGAAACACGAGGTTGACCATTGACCTATGAACAAGGAGGTCACGGTTCAATTCCTGGTCAGGACACATGCCCAGACTGCGGGCTCGATCCCCCATGTGGGGCGTGCAGGAGGCAGCTGGTCAGTGATTCTCTCTCATCATTAATGTTTCTCTCTCTCTCTCCCTCTGTCTTCCTCTCTGAAAAAAAAAAAGGAAAAAAAAAAGAAAGAAAGAATAAAGGAGGTGGCAGGGAGAAAAGGAGACAAAGTGGAATTCATTGGAAGTCCTGTAGGATTTTCTTTGGTTACATGTACTAAACAGTAAATTCAGACATTCCAGTTAATGGAGATCTGATTTGATTTTGGCACAAAAAAGGGGTTTCCCTTGTTGGACAGAATTGTCACCCTTGAAAGAAACACCAAAGACAGCAGGCAGAGGTAGGAGGCCGCGAGCAGACACAGCACAAGAATAAGATGTAAGGATGCTTCGTAGATGCAGTGACACGTTCATTGTGTTCTCCTCCTCGGAGAAATCACAGCTTCTGCTTTGGGGCCTGACTACTGGTGGGGTTTCTGGGGAGCGACTTCAGTTGTCCTGTTCTAGCCAAGAAACGCAGTTTGAATTTTGACGAAGACTTAGAAAGAGAGGCAGGAGCACTGTTTCCGGGTGTTGCTCAGCTACGTTGGGATAACTTGGTTTTTCAATGCCCTCTCGTCTGATAAACATCTGGGTGAAGCAACTGCGGTTGAGTCTTCAGTTGGTAAAGAAGCTGAGGTGGGTGGAAACCTGAGCGAGAGAACGAGGTGGCTGTTCCATGTCCCTTGCTTCCGGCGGGCATGGGGAGTCTGTGCCAGCACCATGGGAGGCCCCGGTGTCATTTGGAAACGTGCAGATCTGGCTCACGGGAGCTGCGGCCGTGTATTTCGGTCACTGATGCTCTTTCCCCTGGGCCCTCAGACATGGTTGTGCCAGGTTCATGGTCGTCAGTGGCCTCAGCCACAAGGCAGTCCTTCTGGGGTTCACCTGGGGCCCTCTTAAGGAAATACAATGAGTTTAATGTAGAACATAAGTAGTTGATGCTACATATCATCTAGAATAATAAAAGAGTAATATGCTAATTAGACCGGATGTCTTCCAGACATCATTCTGGACGTCTTTCCTGAGGCAGCTGGGCCTGGGGAAAGCCAGCCAGGTCCCAGGTGCCAGAGGGAAGCCGGTGTCAGCAGCTGGGAGAAGGAAGGCCTACCCTTGCATGAATTTTCGTGCATCGGGCCTCTAGTATATATATAAATCAGTATGTTTGATGTTGATAAACTTGATTCAATTGCCAAAAGCAACCTAATTATTTAAACCCCAGAGCAGGGGCCTCATGAGGTGCAAGCCCAGCCCAACCCCCACCTCATGCCCAGCCCCCAAGGACTTCCTCAGTGTTAGGTTCACTGAAGGAGGAACGCAGGAGGCTGAAAGGGGTAACGAATTATGAATTTACTAGAGGCCTGGTGCATGAATTCATGCATGGGTGGGGTCCAGCTGGCGGGCCTGCCCCGATCAGGGCCAATAGGGCCGTGCTGGCCGGGGGAAGGATATGCAGGAGGTTGACTGGTCGGCCCCACATCCTGGTCAAACTCCCTGTTGAACTCCCGGTCGAGGGGACAGTTTGCCTATTAGCCTTTTATTATATAGGATTAGGTCATCTGGAGACCAGAAGGGCTGAGCCCCCACATGGCGCCAGCGCCCAGGGGTGGGGAGGCAGAGGTTTTCAAGGACTCCAGGTGGGCTTTTTTGGTGGAGAGCTCTTTGGGTGGGTCCGGATCCTGGGAAAGTCAGGAGGGGAAAGATAAAGGTCTGAGCAATGGAATGTGGTCTAAGCAAAAGGGAGCGTGGGTGATGACGTGGTCTTCAGGGCAGTTCCCAGGGGAGGGGTAGTGTGGGAGGGTTTTTAGGGGTCCATTGA